CCCCTCCCCCTATGTCCCTCAACCGCACTTACATTGGATAGGAGTCATACTATTCAAAGAGTTGTAACAGAAATTCACAACTTACCACAGATGTACACTGGTGGAAGACTTTTATTTGCTGATCATATCTTCAATGGTTATGGAAATGCCAAGAAAGATTTCCTCAAACAGGTATTTTATCAGTTTTGGTTTTTGTTTTATTCTTTGAATTCCTTTTCACCCCCTGTTTCCTGAATTACTAACAGGAAACTTTGTTCTACTTCAGATAATGCGAACAAGAAAGGACGCGCTAGAGGGAAAATCTCTCCCAGCCGACTTCCGTTTGAGTCCTACTCGCGGTCGTTCAGGCCCGAGAGTCGCCTGGGGTGGGGAGATCGGTGGTGTGAAGATAAGTGAACGAGCCCTTAACTTGAGCCCAGCTGTTAGAGAAATACAAGTGTCTCATATTGATACAAGGCTGGATTCTGCAGCTACGACTGCATCTTTGGGTTCTACATCTATTGATGTGAGGTAAGGTGCCACTTTGTCAAACGTTTTGTTTTCTTTTTTGGCAGGTGGATAACAACTCTCGCAAAAAATACTCTAGAGCGATTTTTATCTCCAAATAAGAAGAGAAAAAAAAAATTAAAAATTCTAATTGTTGATCAGAGGATATCTCTTGAGTTACCTGGAAGTCTGACTCCAACACCACGGTACAAGAAATGCTTTTCCTGTAAATCAATCGCAGTTGATATTATCTACTTATTGGCCGAGTTGAAGGGTCCAACGCGGAAATATTTGGCTCGAGGTCATGGCGTACGGACTGAGCGTACCAGCGGTACTCATTCTCTCCATACTATATTTCCCTCTGAGAATGTGTAATAACTGTTACTCTTTTTGGCTTTCTTGCAGAGGTGGAGCTAATTCAGCAGCAAGTTTTGTTAATTTTGGTTTGTCAATTGACAGCCCATATCCAATGAACTCTGTAAAGCGGTGGACTGCTTCGGAGACAATACCCGAACATCGCCGAGTACAGACATCAGCCTGGTAGCCTAGAATTAAAACAAGATAGATAATTAGATAGGTTATTATGAAAGATAAATCCCTATTTATTTCTTTTGCTTTACAGAACACTGTAAAGAGGATATATTTTTATCAACGCTTATTTTATGAGAAGTTTATCATTGCATCTCACCAATGAGTTAAACAAAACTCTTTTCAGAACAGATTGAAAACTTTATTGAACTACTCCAAATCAATAGAGACGGATACCAAATATATTTTTATCTATCAAGTCTCGTCGGTATTTGTAGAGTATTTTGAGTGATCCATGAAAGTGGGTTCTGTGATTTATTTAGTTCCTGTATTGGGCTTGTTAAATCCAAACTACTTAAAAAATCGCAAATGAAATGGAACAATAAATATCAAAAACTATTTTTTTATTTCTCCTTCTTATTTCAAAACCATTTAAACTGAATATTGACGCATTACCGAAAAGACTAACAGCACATGTAAACTAAGAGAAAGCACTGCGATCTACCGTCGACTTCAGATACGAAACGAACATCTTACAAAAATTAAAGTGGGTTAATGGGTATCGACTGAGTAAAGACATGAACACATTACCACAAACTATCCGAAGATTCGCTGTTTGTTTAAATTACGGTATATTGGTCGTCAGTTGCTTTCCTTTGTCAATAAGATAAAATCCGAAGAAATAACAGGGAATTTCTGGATTTTTTTTCGAGCGCTATCAATTCAAGAAGACTTCATCCGCTTCACTTATCATAAATAGTCTGTTGACTGTGTATCGCACTGACTCACTTTTTCAGAACCTATTTTGATTTGTATTTGGTTGCACTTGAATAAGACAGGCGATAGATAAAATTGACTGTTTGTGGTTTCGACTTTCTTCAGATGTCACCCGGAGTGAATGTTTTAACGAAGCCTATATTTTTAGTTTGGTCATGTTTATCAAATTTAGTTGTCGAGGGCGTGAAAATAAAAAAAAAAAGAAAAGAATTTCTTTAACAGTTGTAGACGTAGGTTTCGTGTCGGGCTGAGATTTGAGCTTGTCGCGACAGTCTTTAGACATCAGAATGGCTGTCGCAGAGAACAACATATCGACGTGATTCATCTTAACCTTAACTTGACTTTTTGAGTGTTTTCAATTCCAACCAGGAACAATTGATCGCAGGATTTGAAACATGCATGTCCATATTTTTTTGAATAAAGGCTGATAGTTTCTAAAGAAAATGTTTGGGGCTGCGTCGGTGGGGGTAACGAAATAATTGGAATATATCAACAAAGTTGAAATGGTAAAGTGGCCACCGTTACGATTATAGCGTTACCCCGTGCACGTTATACAAATACATGTCCACGGCCTCAGTTTAATGGAACTTTGTTGGTAATAATTTAGCCGAAAATCGTAGATTAAACTCATCTTCAGTTTTTCTATTTAGTTAAATTCGTAAAGTAAACTTTAATGCATTATGTCAAAAAAAGAAAACAAAAACTGTTTTGAGGAGAACCTTTATAGACACCTCATGTAGTATCCAAACAGCATTGGCAGGCTGGCTTGTGATTGGTTGACTTAACAGGTGCAACAGGTGATCTCTGATTTTAGTAAATGTGCTGGACTTGTGACGCTCTTATGTTTAACCGCGCATGCGTTTTTCAAATGGAAGAATCACCTACGCAAAAGAAGAGTAGTTTGATTACCTCGGAAGGCGCTGTATTGGACGCAAACGGATATGACACGATGGAGTGTCGATTGGGATAATACGTAACACAGCATCGCACGCTTGGGAACTAACAGAATCGAAAAACAAATGCTGTCGTTTGGGTTGATGAAAGGATTTCACGCAGCGAATTATAACTTTATGTTAATAATCGGCTATGATTTCCCTCGCAATAGTAATTGAGCAATTTTCAGCCCGGAGCCTCGGGAATTTTAAAGTGCTTTTGAATCGCTGCAAATCTTAGATCAGCGTCTTCAAGCTTGGAAAGCAAACACTTCAGTGGGCTGGGAAAAATCTTGACAGAATTTGATTTTGCTCGCCAGACATGATACGCAAGAGATTGCCTAAATCAGTGACCGTCTTAGTTGTCACCATTTGCATCATAAGCGCCATTATCGTTAAGTTTTACAGCGGGGAATCAGCGAAGGAGAAATCATTTACTATCAGTACTGAGCAAGATATTCCTGGAGGAAAAAACCTGATTGAAAACAAACCAAGGGAGAGCCAGAAGGGACAAAAGCAAGAGGAAACAAAACGGTAAGTGGATCAGAAGTTTTTTAAAAGTTGCTGTTTCTCTTTGTCAGTTGAGGTGATGGCAATTTTAAATAAAAATAACAGGTCCTTTATTTATACTTGCAACCGAAATCAATTACACGTGAATAATATCTATGCGTGGACGGTTCATTTCAGGAATTGTCCCATGTACGCGTGTGAAGCTATCTCAAAAGTAAATTGTTAAATTAGTGTGAGCGAGTTACTGCCGAAACAACAAATTCAATTCCTATTTAATCCCTTCAAATGTTGATGTTGACATCAGGTCGTGAAGAAAATCGCCGGAGGACGCTTATCAACAGAACTGTGAAACAATCTTTGCACAGCATGCTTGCAATGGCCATGGGGCGGCCAAATTATTGTGCAATCATATGAATTACTTAAAATCACTTCTTCAATCATTATTTCTATATTCTTTGATATTCATAGCTTTGTATACTATTTGAATTTCAATATCATGAGTTCATCAGTTTAATGGCTGTCCAATATTACTCTCGTTAAATTAAGTCTTCTTACTTACTTTCTAATCAGTGTTTCTTAAAAGTATTATTCTGAGATTTTTAAAAGGGCTTTTAACGGAATGTGCGTAAAAGATATCGATCGCGACATACTGGGCATGACTTTCCTTACAATATTCAAGATTACCACTTATCCACTTATCTATTTTGAGCAAAATTTCGCGTCTTCAATCACATCAAAAATATCTACTTTGAGATACGATGAAATATATGAAGTTTATATCGTGCATCATATGAATATCTACTTTGTTGTCTTAACCTAGAATTATGAGGCCTCTGAATGTTTCTGAAACCTCGATAAAAGCAATAACCGCAGTGATTTTGATGCTTTTTTGTGTAAAGAAGCTGTCCTAAAATATTGCAAGCTAGTTTGTATAAACCCTTACACCCTGACATCAGAATTCATATTCTCCATCTTCTTTCATTTTCGTTGGTACTATTAAGGAGAATTTGTTTAAAAATCCAAGTTTCTTAGGTTAGCGATCATGTTCTCAATTCTCGCGACCTCAGTGAATGATTCAGCGGTCCAGCGGTTTTGCACAGCAGCCATGTTGGATGGCAGGAGCAATGAAAATATTTTGCATAAAAAAGAAATTTTTTTCCCATGGGTAAAATAATCTATTTTTCCTGCCATCCAACATGGCTGCTGTGCAAAACCTCTATTGTTGTAAGGAGAAACTAGATGCTGGTCACTCTAAGTTTTCATAGGGTTATCTAACTATTGAGTGTCCACAAAGCGGTAAACAAATGAATAGAAACTTAACTTCTCTTCTTGATTATCATTTTCGTTTTATTTGCAGTTGTAAGCCAAAAAAGAATGTGGTTTTCCTCAAAACTCATAAGACAGGGAGTAGCACTATCACGAACATTTTCAACCGTTTTGGCGAAAGAAACAAGCTTGTTTTTGTTGTACCAACAGAGAAACAAAATCGGTTGGGTTGGCCATGGTTCTTTCAAGAAGAACACATGATTCACTACGACAAAATAAAGCCCAACATGCTTTGTAGTCATTCGCGTTATAACCGAGAAGTCTTGGACCGAGTTATGCCTGAAGACACTGTATATGTGACGATTATTCGTGACCCAGTGGCCCAATTTGAGTCAACATTCTCTTACATGACATTTGGGGAAATACTGGGCATTTCCAACAAAACAGACCCTTTAGAAGCTTTTTTTGAAAACCCAAAAGACGTTCTAGTTAATTATATACTCACTCAAGATCTTCGAATAAACAGCGATCGCTTGAAACTTATTCGAAACGGAATGTTCTTCGATTTGGGTCTGGAATCTAAAGATTTTGACAATATGGAAGATATTCGACAAAATATTCAGCGACTGGACCGAGAATTTCACCTGGTGATGTTAATGGAGTATTTTGATGAATCACTGATCATGTTAAAAAATCTTCTTTGCTGGGATATAGAGGACATTGTTTATTTTCATCACAATCAAAGAAAAGAGACTCATAAAAGAAATCTAACGAATAAACTAGTGACCCGGATTGAACAGTGGAGCAGTGCTGATAAAGCATTATATGATTACTTCAAAACTTTGTTTTTTCAAAAGCTCAGTAACCAAACTCCGGATTTCTTTCGTGACATTTCTGTTTTAAGAACAAAGAATGCTGGTTTGCGAGACAGGTGTTTAGATTTCACAACCGAACACAACGGGGATTATCAAGATGTTGAAATACAAGGATTTAAAATCAAGAAAAATTTGACTAAAGCAATGGAGACTTCATGTGACAAGATGACTTGGAATGAAGTCAAATATCTTGGGTATTTCCGGTATAAACAGAAAAAGTTATTAGAGACTACAGAGTCACTGAGAACGCTTTGGGACTATCTAGCCACTTTTGTGCCATTTACATGATGCATTAGACTTTCTAGTAAAAATAACCTTTATCTGCACGCTTAAACTGGTCTTTTTCATGAATTTCAGTGGATTAAATCTCTCGAGCTCAGCACTTGTCACAAGAGTTCTACATTTTCTCTTCTTGTTTTTCTTTAATCGAAGGGAACTTGGCACGAACTGCCTGAAAAAACGAGAGCAGTGAAACAGGGAAGGTAAAGGGCTTTTGTCTGATTTTGGAGTATTGTCAGAAATCAAACGGAATTGTCAGGTCCAATATCCAACACAGCCACCCGAAATCGAGCGTTTCCGTCCGTAAGGCGAGACCGTCCGAAATCGGACGGAGGTAGTCGGAATTGCACGGAAACGTACGTACGAAAAGCTATGGTGTGTTACACCTCGTCTGTTGTCTGTGAAGCGTGTAATACCGACTTACTTTCTGATCTTCTCTCTCCTGTGTCCATTATGATGACGTACCGATTTTGAGTCGAGAAATACTTTCTGTCAGTTTTACCACACTTGATATTTACGTCAATCGTATTTTAAATTACTCTTCAATGGGAAACAGGAACATGTCCCAATTGATTGCAAAAAGTAAAACCAAGGTAATAAATTCTTTGTTTTAATTTCATTTCCTATACAAAATATAAACAAACAAACTCTGTTCAATTCACAAGACATTTCAGGTCTTGCCGAAAACAGGAGGGGGGGGATAGCATTTCATGTGGCCAATGGAATTGCCCCCAACGTTCCCCAAAGATACGAACAACGACAGGGAATAGGTTTGTACTGTGAAAAAAGACTCACAAAGTTAACTACCGGTAAGTTACGGCAAACGTTGAAATATTTTTCTATTTCAAATTCTGGAGTGAGGGTCTTTGATCTCTTTCTCCGTCTTGTGAATCAGCCACATTTTAAATAGAATTGGCGATTTCAACTTGGCCCAAACCTCCCGAAAATGGAACAGAGCCGGTTTCATGCAAGTCAAGTGTTTCTGTTGGAATAAAATCAAGTAGATCTCTTGAGTCTACACCTTCTTCATCTGATTCTCTTGGAGACTGAGCGTTGGAGTACGCACGCGCAGATGACACTATGGATGAAGTTCCGTCCTGTTCCTCGTCAGACTCAGAGATGTTCGATTCCGGGCCTCCATCTCTTGCCCCGTTTTGACTGCTCGCATTGGCCATGATGGAAGCGAGAGAGACGTTAAAATTGAGTGGGACTGAGTTTGGGCGTTTGACTTCCGTCGGAGAATACTGTGTCGAAGAGAGCTGGAAGCTAGCCGAAACAGCTTGCCTAGGATAATAATTGATATCGTAAAATATCTCATTTCGATTTAATCGTCTTAAGTAAATCCTACCGTCCTAAATTTACGCAGTTAAGTGATAATTCTAAACTGAACCCGCGCTTTGTTTTTGATGTTTCAGTCTTGTAATTGTGTAAGGACTGAAGGAAACATTCGTTTCTTTACTCTCTCCCCCAACTCCTACCTTTATTACAAAACACCCTGAGCGGTTTATATAAAATGTTAAAACAAAATGTTAATAAATGTTACTAAAATGTTATGATTTTAGAAATTTCTCTGTTGTTCAGCTCTGAAATTATATTAAAATAATTATTTGCCTCAGGTTCGGTTCGCCTTCGGCGAATAATTGTTAAATATTGCTTAACCCTGATTGGTACATTGACTATACCTTGTGCCCATCATGAACTGTTCCAGTGATATCTGATGAATACCTGCTACAGCCGCTTTTATCTGTGTCTGGCGACGCTCTAAGGAAAGAGTTTCCTGCAGGAAAAGCAAACATACAAATGAACAGAAATATTTGTGAACAAGGGTCGTAATGATCATTTAAGGTTTGCCGAGTTTAAATTATTTAACGATTTTCAATAAGGAAAGAAAAGTCTCCACTTACCACTGGTGTCTTTTGCTTTGTTAATTTAACTCCTTTGGGAGGAGTTGTGGACGACTCAGACCGTCGTGACCAGGTCCTCGCCGCCATGTTGACCGTGACACTTGTTGTTTGACTGGTACCTGATTTGCCCCCATGGTTTAGTGTATCCTCTGATTGGCTGGTTTCAACAGACGTCATGCTATCGCTGAACAAATCAGACTGCCCTGTGGATGGGGGTGACATGCCAAGGTATTCCATGACAAGAAGTTTAAGTCGCTTGTAAGCGTCACTGAGATCTTCTGTTGAATTGTAAGAAAGATTTGAGTGACAATCGAACATCCACGATTCTTTTCTTGGCAATTCACGATTATACCCATTAAGCAATACCTTTATGTGGAATCCGAAAAATCCGAAAAATACATTTTTTTTTAATTTAACGTTTTACACCTCACCTTAATTGGCACAAAATTTTTACAAAGGCAAAAATGAATGATGGAGTGTTCCTCACCGCTGTTGATAGCCATGTCAAAGAAGCCGGGATTTCTTCTGTTGTGCTCCAGGCATAAAGTAGCTCGATCCAACGACTGTAGTAACAAAGGCTCTGGATAATCATGTCGCTCCCGAAGGCGTGCTCCGTGAATCTGAAATTAACAAAAACTTTCAACATTCAGAACTTAAAAAAAAGATATGTAATTCTTAGGCAGTCTGCACAATGACTAAAAGGTTTTCCGCTAAGTTGAACACGGGTTCGGCGTCATGTCTCGTGAGATGTCCTTGATAATTATTGTGACAGTTGCAAAATACGACAAATTATCTGTTACATGTAGATATCCTACCTCTCTTGATACGGGAAGCACCAAAACATATCTGGGCTCAAAATAAGTGTTCTTGAAACTCAATACTCCCTGGAATAATATGTAAAAATAGCATCTTAATGGCTTTCTTTTAGCATTGTCATACTGAATATAGTGAATATAGTGAATATAGTTTATATCTGACCACTTGCATCCCAGAGGCTGAATTACGGGTGCAGTGTGAGGTTGAGAACAGACGTCAGCATATGACGTCATACAAGAGGAAAGCAAACTCTGTCGCTTACAGGGAAGTAACTAACCTCTAAGTCCATGTGGAACACTGCAGCAAGTCCTTCACCGGCCACACTCTCAACGGCCTCTCGTGTGACACCGTACCAGTTCCCCGCCAGCTGGCACGTTTGTAGGAATTTACCCTGCGGATAAACACAAACATGACATGATAGACTTCTGAAACTTTTAATGTCGTCTTTCCAAAACTCCTTTGTTTATTACTAATGATAGTTCCTGATTGTTACATGGAACCAACGTTTTAACATACCATTACAACTCCTTGTTCAAATTGTTCTTGAGTGACAAAACAGTAGTCCTCGAGATTTTCTTCCTTCTCCCGAGGCATTCTTGTGGTATGACAGATGCTGTGAGGAATAAACACACAAAGATCAATCTCGAAACTGAGCCAGTGACAAAGAAAGGGTCTGAGATCTCACCCGAAGCCAAAGAAGTCTGGAAACTCCTGACATAATCTTCGCGCCAAATAACGTTTTCCTGATCCGGGGGGTCCACACAGGATCAGCATCGGATAGGGCGTGTCCACACTTGGAAGGGTGCTATCGGAGTAGAGACGATACGAAATGTGAACACGTTTTGTTGACATCGATATTTGGCAAAAATTGTTACTCAAGCTTTAAGATTATTAGAGAATCGGGTGCAAGCACCACAACATTAGTGAGAAGTACAGCTTTTTCATTCCTACAACGCTCTTAATATCACTTAACTGGATAAGATAAGAGAATGACTTTACTGGATTACACAATTACTGGTAGAACCAGTAGTTCTCATTGTGGTCCATGCAAACAACTGAAACAAATAATTCAGATTGAACATGACATAAATGGCAAAAATACGAAAATACAACTAAAAATTAAAAATTAAAAATGAATTAAAAATTTCTGCTTATGGTAGAATTATCCACTCTAGAGTTCCGATCTATATATTTCTTGTATAGTTGATTTCTAAATTTACAAAGGGAAGTGAGACCCCTTGTATTACTGTCTTGGTTGTTCCATAATCTAGCGCCACTTGCAAGAAATGAACGCTTGCAGGTCATTGCGCTGAAAAAAGGTGTGGTTAAGTCCAAATTAGTTGACGCCCGAGTCGTGTAATTACGTCTATTTTTAACATAACGAATATAATGATTAAAATAATCAGGACATTTCCCATGGATAATGTTATGCATAATACACAATTCCCTATGCTCTATTATGTCACTAATGGGGATTCAACCTAATCTCTTAAAAAGGCGAACTGTTCATTCAGTGCCTGCATTTAAAATTACTCTGGCACAACGTTTTTTAATTCTAAGGAGCCTTAATTTGTAAATTATCGATCTTAGTGTTTCCCCATACTGAACAACAATATTCAAAGATTGGTTTAATTAAAGGGTTTTATAGCAAAATCCTAAGTGATAGATTCAGGTACTTTCTGGCTCTTTTAAGAAGATTTACCCTAGAATTTAATTTAGTGATTATGTAATCTGTATGGCTATTCCAGTTAAGATGCTTGTCTATCTTCACACCAGGCAGCTTTTCGTTTACGGCCTCTTCGATTTCAGTGCCTCGAAACGGAAGGTTAAGCGATGGGTTTGTGCAGTGGGAAAGTTTTGCTTGGCTCCAACAAGTAGCTGTTTTGTTTTCTTTGCGTTTGGGACCATCTTGTTTGGCGAGAACCAGTGATTCGCTTTGTTAAGACTTCCCTGAAGTCTGTGTTGGATATGCAAGGGATTAGAATTAGCTATCCATAGTGTACTGTCATCGGCGTAAATACCCCTATTGCAATCAGGTATTGCAAGTGGAAGGTCATTGATATGCAACAAGAAAAGGATGGGACCCAAACCAGAACCTTGTGGAACGCCTCTAGTAATTGGTAGTTTGTCAGACAGCGATCCGTTCTACTTTATTACTCTTCAACGCTATTACACATCAAGAAGAGATACAACATCGATACAACATTGATACAACACCGCTGCGTTCAATCGTGTAGGTAAGAGTCAAACCACCGCAGAGATGTAATATCAGTGTGGTACATACTGATTTTTGATAAAAGTAAGTTGTGATCTACCAGATCAAAAGCTTTACTAAGGTCCAGCAGTACAGCGCCAAGTTCTTTCGAGTCCATAGCTTTGAGCCAGTTGTCAGTAAGACAAAAGCGCTGTTTCACAAGAATGATACGGGCGATATGCTGGCTGTTTACTGTGTAAGAGCGTGTTCGATGTTAAGTAATCAAGGTACGATCGCGCAACATGCCTCTCCAGAGGTTTAGATATTACGGGCAATATGGAAATGGGACGATAATTGTTTCTGTCATGGATTGAGTTGTTCTTGTGGACAGGAGTCAGTTTCGCTCTCTTAAAGTTGTCCGGGAAAGAACCACTTGCAATACTAGCATTGGAGATATGGGTAAGAGACGGAGAGACAGCATTCAAAGCTTGCTTTAAGGGTTTAATTCTGATTCCATCGAGTCCTGTGGCTTTAATTTATTATTTATTATTTTTTATTTATTTAATTTATTTATTATTTATTTTTTATTTATTATTTCTTAAGATCTTCACCCACCCGTCTCAAACTAATTAAGGACCGTAACCAAACCACGACGGCGACGGCAACGAGAACGTGGAAAAGCAATAGATCTAATTATCAGAACAATAGCTCAGACCGTGCATTTTAAAACTTAGTTCATTTCTCAGCCGACCTTTGCAAAGCGATAACGTGAAATCAGCAAAATTTGCGTCGTCTGCGAACCGAAACCGCAACGGCAAATTATTTCAATTTCCATTTGCAACTCAACGCTACTTTAATACGTTATGTTGAGGCTGAGTTGTGGCGCCTTATGAGATGGTAAACACATGCAGACATTTTCAAAATTCTAATTAAAAGTAGAAATTCATTTTTTAATCGAAGTCTTCCTTGGCGTAGCTGTCCTGACTGCTTAAGGTCCCTATTGACGGGATGTGGAATACGGCTGAGTTATTGATTTTACCTTTACAGGACGCTAGTTATAACAAGGATATGCTCTGAGGTATGGCCCTTTCACGGAATTGTTGCAAACTTTGCAAACTTTGAACACGCGCAAACACGCACATTGCACATTACAAGACACAAATGCGTGTATTAAAAAACGCACGCAAGTGAGCGTCGCATTCGTCACGTGTAAATTATACGTAACCGGTCAACTAGAACTCAGAATGCGTGTAATGAGACAACAGAGCATGAAATAAGACAAAAAGATTTAATTCTGAATTCAGTATTAAATAAAGACAGAATATCTCGGTATAAAAGATCTTGATAATACAAAGTCTGCCTCCTTAACTACCTGTCATGAATTCTTGTCGGCTGGAGAAGAGCCTTTGTCACGTGGAACATATGATCACGCGCTGCTATGACCTCTGGAGGGGGTTCAAACATATTCACCGCTGCAACCTGTTGAATCACCAATAAAGCAAAGATTTACTGGCGTGGACATTTAAACAGACATGAGACCTATAAATGTACATTTTGAAGCATTGCAATACACAAAGGCCTGATATTAGGCACGCTGAACTCTGTGGATTCAGGGGCCCAAATCGGGGACATAACACCAAACTCTTACACTGCCTCTTTCCGCCCCAGGGAAGTCAGTCAGTCTCCATCTATGGTATGTATTCTTCACCTTATATGTTAAACCCTTACCGACACCCTAACATCACTATGAATATTCTCTATAATATTCTGTATACGTTATTTTCCTATGGCACTGACAGGGAGATAATTTGGATGTATCAACAAAGTTGTAATGGTAAATTGGCCACCGTAACGATTACAAAAGCTGACGTTTCGAGCGTTAGCCCTTCGTCGGAGCGAAGTTAGCCCTTCAGCGGAACTGACAGGGAGAAACTGGCTAAGAGTCAAAAGCTTCTCTATTTGGTGATCATTTCCTCAGGTCTCAAGTCCTTAATGTGTGGTTCAGGGGTACTATTAATGACTTTAATGTGTGGTTCAGGGGTACTATTAATGACTTTAATGTGTGGTTCAGGGGTAATGTTAAAAGTAGTTTCTGTTCATTCTTAGGATTTAGACAGTTAACAGAATTGTGAAGAGTTGAGAAAATAATCTATTTTACTCAGAGCCAATAAGTTACCGGCTAGCTGTTAGTGTCAACAGATAAACAGTCACACACAAAATCTATTTTACTTAGAGTCACTATGTTACTGGCTGTGTTATGATGTTCGTCCTTCGCTGGCGAAGAAGACCATGACTTAACTCAAATCACTGAGGGGGCGGGATGGGTGCAGAGATGGCTGATAAGTCCAATCTTCGCGCGGAAGTGTCTGACGCAATGCGGGCAAGGGATACTGGGGAATGGACCAGGTTGAGGGTTTGAATTCCTTTCCTTTCTTCTCCGGCGACTCTGATCTTTCTTACGGATGCAGATGATCTCGAATGCCAGCACTCCCGCTCTCACAAGCAAGTGCCATGCAATCGCTTCTCATGTGGAGCAGGGAATGTCACAGCGCTTAAGAGACTCTTTCAGAGAGTCTTGTGTTAAAGGGTTAACAAATAAACAGTCAAGAACATACGTAATATATTTTACTTAGAGCCATTATTTAAGTTACTGGCTGTGTTAAGAGAAGACACAAATAACAAATAAACAGTCAAGAACCCTATCTATTTTACTTAGAGCCACTAAAGTTATTGGTTGTGCTACAAAGGATCTGTTACCTTTTCCCCAAGTGACACCTTGGATCGATCCAGTTCAGTCAGAGTTTGTATTTTGAACAATAAAGACAGTCTGTAGTCTGGCATTCCTTGGATCGGGTTTCCAAGCAAGTTCAGATTTCGTAATAAATTCAGTTCTCTGATGTACCGCACTTCAGCAATATCGATCACCTGAGAGAGAATAAAGAACTGTAAGACAGTTGGGAAAAAAATATCAAACATTCACCTGTAAAGGGGAGAACTCCTAGTTTTTAATCTATTTTGTTATAAGAAATCTTCAAAACATGTTAACTCATAGACTGTTCCCCTTGTGATGTCACTCAGGCTTTTTCCCTTGAAAGGTGTTGACTTGTGTGCTACTGTCGTGCAGATAGAGAAGAATATTTCAATTAACACCCACACAAAAAGGATTTTGTCTTCCATTTGCCCAAGATAGACAAAAGAACACTGAAAACATTAATTAGCAAACAGTTTGAAAGACTTCACAGATTTTCATGTTGTTACCTGATGGCTAAGAATATCAGATCTTCATGGCATCTTCCAAGAAACTTTTGAATCAAAAGCAAGCTGAATTCTTATTACAACAAAACAGGCAAAAATATTAATCTGACTCGACCATGCGCGCATGGCCAGAAAATGACACTAATTATTACACAAAAATTTCACTTCTGATCAAACTGACCTGGTTTTCTTCAAGGTCAATTTCTTGAAGTAAATTGTGATTCTGAAGACCTTTCATACTGCGAATACTGTTCCTGGATAAATTTATTATCTAATAACAGACAAGAATATAGTTTAAAACTTTTGCCAAGTAATAAACTAGTATATCTAAGTAAAAAAATCTGTTTATAATTCCTTGGATTTTTGGAAAATTGTAAGTTAGCAATTAGTGCCAAATTATATGATTACATCTCTAGAAATGTGTTTCCTCCATTAATAGCCCTTTGATAGAAGTGTCTCCCATGGTGGGAAAAAATCTCCCCCCCTCCCAATGAAAGCTTTGACTGCCTCCCCCACCCTCCCCACCCCTCCCTTTTACCCCTTAAACCTATTAGGTTAAGAGCAAATGCTAAAAGGCTTTATCTTAAATAGTATCATCATGTGCTATTAAATTAATACCATTTCCTCTCTTTGTTTACATTCTGTCAATAATAATTGTAAAGAATACAATTATCACACATTTGTAATGAAGAAATTAATCTGGTTCTTACTTCAATTTTATATCTGCACCCACCTCAAGATATTTAAGGGTTTCCAAGTTTTCAATTTTCTTTATGTTGTTGTTACTCTGAAGGGAGACAGATGCAGATAACAATTGAGACTCTTTCCACTCATATGCAGTTTAATAGGAGTCATGCAATCAGCTTTAAAGATGTCAAGTTCTAAATTTTGTCTCCTGGAGTCTAGCAAGCAAAGCAAAAAAAAAAAAAGAAAGAAAAAAACAAAACAAAACAAAAACACAACAAATATTCTTGGATAGAACAGTACAATACTTGGTTTCTGTAATATTAAAGTCAGTTTTTCATTAGTGAGCCAATGGTTAATATAAAGTAATGTTGTACTTTGATAATAATGTACCACCATTTAAATTTCAAAAATCTAAATTAACTGTTAGCAGTGTTAGTCCTTTGATGGAGTGAAGCTCTGATCTTGAATGAGAGTAAGATTTGAATCCAATCTCTTTGAGTTAATTACTTGAAAAGTGGGGGAAATTTAAGACCATTGTAATAACAAAGCCCAAGATGAATGTTTTTTTTTTTTTTTGGCTTATTCTTAGGGCAAGGACTTTTTCTCCAGTATATGACTGACATTTTTAGATATATGTACATGTTGACCTAATTTTTGGATTTCCTCCTTTAACCTTTGACATTGCAGTAAGAAAACCATCTAAGTTTCTGGTAGAATGTAAGAATTAAGTGAACCAACCAAATTGAGTGATTTGAGTGGCAGGTTGTCCAAATTAGCAATCCTGGATATGTTGTTGTTCATCAGACTAAAGTGAGTCAAACGATGACAACTTGATAATCCCTGGATCTCTGATATGTTGTTGTCTGTAGAATGAAATATCAAGGACAACAATAACAAAAAAATCAGAACTAAATGCTTATCTACATGTAGCAAGTCAATGATTAGCGATAACTTAGAACGAGAGTCAAGTGTGTTAATCCTAAGATAGGAAATTCTTCAGGTTGTGAATTAAAGAAAAAATAATAACCCTGATCTATTTTCTCCCCTTGGCAGATGATAGCTTAATTGAAATCCCCCTCTTATACATTTACAGTTTTACTCTTCTCCCCTTCAAGTTTGTGTCCCAATCAAACAGTCAAATGTAGTTTACTTCATTGCTACAGTAAGGATACAGTCCAGTGTTAATCTGGTAAGACAATGATGGGCAGACAAATCTGGAAGAACTTCTATCTTGTTATGTGACATAATTACATCCTGAATGGGAAAATAATGCATTGTTAATAATCACTGTTAAGCAGACATTGTTCTTGATAGATAAATC